CGTAATATAAGATTTTTGTAAGTTCAAATTCGAGTTTGAGTTCGAGCTCGAATCGAGCTTGAATCCAGCTCCTGAATTTTTTTTAGTTCGAATCGAGTTTCAATATTATATTTCGAGTTCGAGCTGAGCTTGATAATTTTTAGCTCACGAGTTTTCGAGTTGAGTCGAACCTAATTTTAAAATTTTCGAGTTCGAGTCGAGATACTCGAGCTCGACTCGGCTCGTTTACAGACCTACTCCCGCTATTGAATCAACCCCGAAATCAGCAACGATGCCTTTTCATTTATCGAGATGAACAAAAGAACAATTCTTTGGATGTTAAATTGTAGTTTGGTTTGATGTTAATTTATTTATTTTTGGAATTAAGAACTCTAGTTAGTTGCTTCTGATATTAAGGACTCCATTATTACCATGTGGATTGCAGCAGCATCAACGTAGATTTCAACCTTGTCTTTCTTTCGTATACAATGCTCTGATTCTAACCCTAATTAACCGGGGTTTTGGTCCCAGAAAATCCACGCCAAAGGTAAACTCCTACTCTCTTTCTGGTTTTGCATTCGAGTGTAGTCTTCTTTAAACATGGATTCCCCCCAGGCAAACAAGACTAGTACTTCAAGCGAGAAGGGTTTGAATTTACAGCCAAGGTATCTAAATAATTGCTAGCTCATGCTTGTACTATAAGAGATGGTACACCTTATGTTTGTACTGTATGAGATTGTTTTCCGGTTGTAAAAGTTTTAAAATACCCTAGATCATTAATTTGATTATGTTTCAGTTTATTATAATTTATTGTAAATAATATTGCTTTGTGCAGGAAATATCTTCACATTATTTTGTCTGTAATAGATTGTTATTGATGTTTATCAAATTACACATAGTAATTACCAAGGCAGTGCTTTCTGTTCACGTGTTGACAATTATGTACATGCGCTTTCAAGACTGAAATAATTTATATCACGTGCCAATTGCACAGCTTAATAGACATTATAAACTATACTACTTTTAGTTCTATGTGACCAGATGATAAAAAGAGTCTCTGTAAAAGAGAACAGAAAAAAGTATTAGAATTATTCTTAATTTAATTTATTTTATTTACAGCGTTAAAAATTAAACTACTTTATTTAAAAGAATTAACATGTAATTCTAGACGTTTTAAATAAAAAGAAATAAAATATGGAAATCCAGAGTATCAAATATCATTAATTATTAAACCTGGGGGGCAAAGAAAGCAAATGATTAATGCTAGTTTACTTTAATTTATCTTTGAAACGCCTTAAACATAGTGTTTGCATGTGCTTCGGCTTTTATGTATAGCTTATTTCCCGTTGTGTTTTTAGGTAATAATAAAAACAGTTTGTGTCACGTTCAAACTCTTACCGTCCATTAATTTAGGTTTAAGCAACAGAGTGCATGGAAATAAGATTAAGTAATTTAAATTAATTTGAACTCACAGTAGCACTCTCTTCATTGAAAGGCAAAGATTTTATTATACCTACTTTTACATCTGTAAACTTTTATGTTTTAATAATTTAGACGGCGAATTTCAAGATAATTATTGGAATTAATTAACTAGTTATTTTATAATAATTAAATTTCAAGTAGAAAAAAAAATAGAAGATGACAATATTATTCTCAACTTATTCCAACACTCATACTAGAATGGTAAATGAGTTAGTCGAGTTTGAGAATTGTTGATAGAGATGATAATTTAATCCAAAATCAATAGATTTTGACTCGACTCGATCTAATAGGATCATACTTTTTTTATAAAAAAAACAGATAGACCTTTTAAGTTCGGGTTAGGTCGGGTGAAGGGTAAAAATCTCCTATCTGACACAATCCGATCCGAGGATAATATTATAATTTTTTATATTATTATTTTGAGTTGCTTGTGAGGTTTTTGAGCTGTGTATTAAGTAATCTGTTCCGACTCGTTAATAACTTCAATTTTATTCGAGCTTGAATCTAATCTATTCAATTCAAACATTTGGCCAAGTTAATTCAAATAATTTATGAATTATCTCATTTACAACCTTAACTCGTGATCACCTTTATACTAGAAATAAAGAGATAAATGTTCATTCATAATCTCAAACTCAAAGAAGAAAGAGTTTAACCTCCTTGATACATCATGCAGAGATGACTACAAATTGGAACATCCTCCGTTTTCATCTACACAGTTGAGGATGAGGAGGAGGTGTAAAGTGAGAATGTGGTGAGTAACAGGAAGCAAGGGTTTCGTTTTTGCGTTGAACGGCGTTCAAGATGTTGTCGAACATGGAAACTTCACAAGGGATCTTCAAAACTCCTTCCTGTTGGAACCCAAACTCCTCTTCTGCTTTTCTCAGCAGAATCCCGAACGCTTCATGCCCCAGATACTCCATCGGGATTATATATCGCTTCAACTCTTCGCCTACGCACACGGCCAGGAACCCTTTCGGAACCACCTCTCCACCGCCTGAAACGTCGTTGAAAGATAGCGTTCTCTTAAAGAATTTGATGCTTTTGCTTCCGCCGCCGGTGGTTGTGGGCTTCTTTGATGCATTGGCCAACCTTTTCCATTTCTTGAGGGTCTGTTGAAGCCTGCGATCTCACTGATCTTATTGGACTTCTTCGAATCCATTTACTAATGACTAATTTGCTGCTAGGTCTACGCCTAGCTAGCTGCTTTCCTTATCCTTTTTTGTTGCTTGAATGATTTCCAATGGCAGATGGAGTGAAGTTTGATATGATATATAAACATGGCAAGCTCCTCCACCACTTGCTTTTATTGTTATATTCTAATTCATTGGTATCTGTAATTGATTAAGCAATGCTTGTAAGTTGTAACCATTCATTGACAAAATTTTAAGGGTAAACTACACAAAATGGTCATCAAACTTTTAGGAAGCTCCCACTTTGGTCACCCAACTTTTAAAATTTGTAATACAGTCACTGAAATTTTAATTCATTTTAAGTAAGGTATTGAATTTTAAGTTCATGAATTTTCAATAAGGGTGCGTAAAAAATTAGACTTACACATATCTGCTTTGTTGATGATCTCTTAGTATTTACTAAAGGTCATATTAAGGTTGTGTTGCCTGTGAAAAGTATTATATGATGTCAGGTCTACGGATGAATATTTCGAAGAGTGGGCTATTTTGTGTTGGGATAGAGAGCTCTGATACGCAGAGTATGATTGAGCATATTGATTTTCGGATTGACACTCTTTCAGTTTGATATTTGGGGATCTCTCTAGTTTTTATTAGTCTTTTTTATTTAGATTGTGAGGGATTAAGTGAGAAAATTGTCAGAAAAAAATCGTAGATGATCTTCTAAGTGTTTGTTCTTTGTAGGAAGGCTGCAACTTATCAAATTGTAATGTTTATCATTCAGAATTTTTAGAGTAAAATAGTCTTGCTGCCTTCTAAAGTTCTAAAGCATATTGAACATTTGTATAATGTTTTTCTTTGAAAAGATTCGGACGGTTCATCTAATGGTGCTCGTGTTAACTGAGAAAGATTCTGCTATCTCAAATAAGAGGATCCTAGGATTAAGAACATTCTAAGTTGGAATAGAGCGTGTACGATGATGAAATATTTGTGGCTTCTGTTGGCCTAGTCTAATTCTCTTTGGGTGACCTGGGCTAAAGAATGTGTTTTAAAGGATGTTCTCTTTGACAAACCCCTTTGAAAAATAGTTATAGGTAGGTTTGGAAGAAGATTCTTAGTTTGAGGGAGACTATGTTCTTGTGGGTAACTTTGAGGGTTATCAAGCGAGGAGGGTTTGAGAAGCTGTTCGACACATGCAGGATAAGGTTCCTTGGTTCAAAGTCATCTGGGGGATTATATATTCCTCGACATTCGTTCATATCTTGACTCACACTACTTGATCGTTTTCTAACAAAAGTCCGTATGTTTCATTGGGGGTTAAACTGACCCTACTTGTATCTTTTGTGATTATATTGTTGAAAAAGGGATCGTCTTTTTGCTAATTATAGTTTTTCGAGACAGATTTGGTCAGTAATTTTATAGGCTTGTCATGCTGATTGGTTTATATGTTGCAAGTCAGATATAGTGAATAGGTTCAAGTTAATGGCAGGGGGAGTCTTTGAAGGCTACCATCATTTGGATAGTTTGATGTTATCTTTTCTATATCTGGCATGAAAGGAACAGTAGATTACGTGGGGCTGGACCTCAACAGGTTGATAGCATTGTTCTGTAGACAAACATGCTGTCAGATCGTTAAGGGGTGTACAAAGGTTACTCTTCCCTCCTTTGCGCTTGCTGCAGAGTAAGACTTGTATTTTTTTTTCTGTTTGCTTAAAATTTTTATAGGGGTTGTTTCATATACTCTTTCTTAGCTGTAAATGGTTTGTATAGTGAAAGTTTTTTTGGATGAATAAAATCAATATTTATCCAAAAAAAAATTAAGGTATATATTTTGAAAATAAAGAAATTCAAGTGTAATATCTGGGTAAATTACCCAGAGGCCAGAAGTCAATGAACACATCAGCAAACTGTGGACAGAAATTATTGACAAGCTTACTTTTTGTCAAATATAATACAAGAAGCATGTCGTTTTCATAATTCTACTCCACAAAATTTTGCTTTAATAATCTAATCAAATATTTCATAATAAATGTGTGCCCAATTGTGATTGGTTGAATAATTCAATAAGAGTTTCTGAAATTCCAATTTTTTTTAAAGAATTTATTTAAAACTTCTAAAAACATTAGTTAAAAATTAAAAGTAATAATATAGTACAATTTAATTTTCTGGAAGAATTAAAAGCAAATCGCAATGGAATTGATATTTATTCTAATAAAATAATATTGAAATGCTATTTTCAAATTAGGAATAATATTTTTTTTAATAATTAAAAGCAAATCAAAATAAAATTGAAATTTATTTTAATAAAATATATATTGAAATGTGATTTTCAGAGGAATAATATTTTTATAAACATTTATTATTAGATGGAATTAAATTAGAAAAGGTCCATCTGTTTGTAACCATCACTTTGTTGAAAGCATTTTCATTTAGTTTTTAAAGAATGCTAACATATGAAGAAAAATTTATCTACAACAAATAGTCTCCCCATTCAACCAAAACCAGGATGAATATCAAGCAAAAGGTGGATTCCTCAAAACTTTAAAAAAACTATGGTTTAACACAGAAAACACAATATGTTTCCTTCTTTCTATATAAATGTTTTCAGGAACCATCCACATCAAATGCACTTACCAAAACAAGATGTGGAATGGCTCTGCTAATTTCGCCCCCATTCTCCGAAACGCTGCAAACTATCTTCTTGCTTCTCTACAACTTGCATAAAATCTGATAAAGACAACTTCCAATCTAATTCAGGGGAGTTAGAACCTAGTTCTACATGATTTAAATATAGGAAAACAAGAGGATGTATGCATGTATGTATCTACTTACTTCTACCCTTTCTGCTTTTACAGGAATTTACGTGAGAAACAAGGCAGGTTGTCGCTTCAGAGAAGTGATAAGCTTTCTTCCAATATGTGTAGGCCCTATAAGGCTATAACCTCAAAGAACTGTCTCTTGCACCGAGCCATTGATGAATCCGATCTACTAGTGCCTTGTTTTAGGATTTTGGAGGACCTGCAAGCACCAGATAGAGATTTCAAAATATCACAAATTATGCTTGAACCTCAAGCGAAAATGTTTCAATGAAATAAAAAAAGGGGTTAGCATTTCAATTAACCATGGCTGAGACATAGCTTACAAGTGTAACAGAACTCCAAGCTAAATAGAACTACAACCAGCTAAAACATAAATCAGGTCACACCTTATAAGAGTTTATTTCCCTGAAGATATTTAATCAAACAGGAAATGAGGTGTTGCACAGAGCAGTGAAGCAGACTTTAACCTTTAATTTTCTTCGGTGGTTTAATGTCACCAGTTACAACTGAAGATGGGGCACGAGACCTTTTTTCGTTCGACTTTTTTGATGATTGTTCAGACTTCTTTGAGGGAATTAGACCCGAGAAAAGAATAGCATCAACAGCTTCCCGTTGCTTTTTCCGTTTTAGAATTAAATTCTGAGAAGTGTCAACTTCTTTAGGATCTCTACCACCCTTGTTAGCTTTTCTCTCTTCATTATTGTCATCAGGTCTGGGGATTGAAACATGCGAGCTTTTTTGTTGATGCCCAGAAGATCTCTTAGAGTCTTTTGACATCTTATTTTTGCCACCACGACCCATTTCTTGTCCACCATTGTCATCGTTGCTTCTCTGGTGCATATGGCTTTTTCCCTTGTTGACCTTTACTTCACTACCTTCTCTTTCTTGGCTTCCACTAGAGGAAGAAAGTTTCTCTGGAACACCGGAGTTCATTTTATGTGATCGTCTTCTATCATCATTTGCAGATGCAGATGCAGATGCAGATGAAATATTCCTTCCAGTGGGAGGATCACAATCATCTTTTGCTTTTCTTTTGCTACAGTATATATCTTTACTTTTCTCACAGTCATTGTCACCTCCAGCAAAAGTCCGGTTACAGTGAGCCACACTGTCATTATGCTTTCTCTTTCCTTCTAACTTCAGCTTTGCCCGAGACTCCAGTGTGGCAAGTTGGCCATCACCTCTGACCTGTTCGACATGCTTCACCCGACTTTGATGATTATCAGAACCTTGTGAAACAAGATTCTTCCTTGTGTTAGTTTGAAAAGAGATATTGTAAGGCCTTTCAATAGAAATCACCAAATTTCTCTGCTTAGCATCCTTCACAAGCGCACCCCAATTACGATCTGTCTGCAAAGTCCTTGAATTCCCCAAAATCCAAAGAGAAAGCCTAGCTCTTGTCAAAGCAACATTCATCCGTCTTACATCAGCAACAAACCCAATACTGTTGCTTGAACTTACGCCATGCGAAGAAGTTGCTGCTCTAACAGTAGAAAACACTAATATATCCACCTCCCGGCCTTGAAAACCATCCACTGTGTTGAATTCGATATCAGCACAAAAAGATGAACCAAACACACTAGAAAAACGAGATCGCAAAAGAGAAAGCTGACACTTGTATGGTGTTATTATTCCAATCCTGCCACCAACAAACTCTGATGGATACCTATAATCCAAAATAAATAATTTAAAATTCAACAAGAATCATTCTACTATTCTAATCTCGCGAAAGGGAAAGAAGAAGCACATACCTTTTCCTGAAAAATTTAAGCAGCGCAACTGCTGCATCAGCCTCACATTCATTATAAAGAGATATGGCGGCAGAATTCTTTCCACGAAGCTCGACACCATCAATAACATCATAAAACACATATGGGCCAAGGCCTTCACTTCCATGAAATGATGCTGATTTGCTTGAGATTGTATAACCATTCAGCAACTTGTTGTCATAGAAGTGCAAAGAAGGGAAGCGACATATCTCTGGATGCATCCTATACTGTAAACAGAAAGCTATTAATCATAAGAATCAGGAATCAAGTGTTGCAAAGACTTTATGGAGCTGACACCATACCCCTCATGCAACAAATAGTAGCATAGATCAATGTAATCCTACATGGAAAAAAATTGTGTAACATGCTCATAAAGAATACTACATATATGATTTTCAAAATGCATAAAGAATCAGACTCTTCTAACGCTCTGAAGTGGATTCAGAATCCGGGTTTAACCCCTCCTTTGCATCTATCCTTGGTGAAGGATATAGTTTCGCTTTTGATTGGAAAGGATATTATTTTTAGGCATATTTCAAGGGCGGCAAGCTGGGAAGCTGATAAACTTGCTAAAGATGGGATAGGGTGATTTTGGTTATTGTGGTGTTGTTTAACAGGAATTGTTCCTCCCTGTTTTGTTGGATGTTTTGTGTTAAGTTTTATGTTCTTCCGTTGGAAGTGTAGGAGTTTGTTCAATCTTGTAATCTGGTTCTTGTGAATAAAAGTTTTCTAGGCTCTCCTTTCCTCCTTCGTTGTTCCTTCATGTTACTCTCATAACATGGAGGGATTGAAGGAGGATTTTAATGAGGCCCTTTCTATCAAAAAAAAAAATGCATAAAGAATACTAATTATATGATTTTCAAAATAATGCTAATAATATGTAAACAAAGCTTTCCAAATCATTTAGCAACAGCCGACATTTTTTCCTTTTAATGTCCCAGGATACTTGGACCTCAATATTCCTTAAAAAACTAATATGTGATCAGTCTCATTGCCAGAGTAGATAAATTTAACATTAACCTTAATAACCCTTAAGACACGATTAGCCTCAAGTAGAAAGGGTACATCATACAACTGGGTATAGAATTACAGAGAAGAAAAGAATGTAAAGACTATCAAACCAAACTTCCTAAATCATATGGAAACAGGTAACCTACTAACTTTCAGCATCCATTAAACTCTTCAGTAATTGTTAGCATCTGATCAAATTCCTGGTAGGTCTTCTTTTCATATCCAGAAAGCAGCCACTGCAGAAAAACTATTTTGCGCCACCACATTTAGCCCCCCCCCCTCTAATGTGGCAATAATGTATCGGTTTAACTGTAATATCTTGTTTATGAATCAATTGATTTACCTATGAGTTAATAGACTCCACTATTGAATTTGTCCAATTAGATGTGTAGGAAAAGTTGAGATAAAAAATATTCCTGGTAACCTACTGACTTTTAGTATCCATGAAACTCTTCACTAACTGTTAGCATCTGATCACATTCCTGGTAGGTCTTCTGTTTCATATCCAGAAAGCAGCCACTGCAGAAAAAATATTTTGTGCCCCCCCACATTTCTCCCCCCTAATGTGGCAATAATGTATCGGTTTAACTGTATTTTCTTGTTTATGAATCAAATGATTTACCTATAAGTTAATAGACTCCACTATTGAATTTGTCCAATTAGACGAGTAGGAATATTTGAGATAAAAAATATAGGTGGGGTAAGTATAATGAATCGTGTAGAAATGGTACATAATGGAAGATAATAAAAATATTACCACAAAAAGTATGGACTTTAAGTTTAGACACTAAGCAAGGAATAAGCAATTGCAGTGAAGGATACCTGTTTGGTAAGCATAACAATAGGATGACCAGCTCTTTGTAAACGCTCAAACATGCTGCATTCATACATATATTTGCTCGCAACATTAGAGAGAACTGTTGCAGGAAGTTGCTTTGGATCACCAACCTTCAGTAAAGGCACTTCACTTAGGTATTAATTCTCAAATTCACATCAGACAATGCAAACATTCAAATAAGTGGACAGTTCTTAGTTTTTTGGCCCATACCATGATACATTTTGTCCCTCTTGACTTTAAAAGCTGAAGAGGAATCAAAGTAGCTGGTTCCAAAGCCTGCAGTGACAAACTCAAACCATATAAAAAATAGAGGGCAACAATAGCAGTAACAAAATGAAAGAATTGAAGAAATGGCATATTACTTGAGCTGCTTCATCAATGACAACAGCATCAAAAAGAGAGTGTTCAGATGGATTGCAAAGCTTAAAACTTGATATGGTTTCAGCACATACACCATAGAGATCTCCACCACAACCACTTAACGTTGTAACAACTATTTCAGCTTCCTTTAGAATAGACTTCCGCAGTTTATGTTTTAATGCTTTGGTTTCTTCATTAGTTTTCCTCTCTTGTGCCTGAGCAGCACTAAGATCTTTATAAATTTGTTTCTTTTGCTCATATAATCGTTGTAGCTTAGCCTCTACTTCCAAACTAGACATTTCTTTTATATCTGTTTCCTTATCAGATCCATCTGATATTTTTTTCACACATGAATTTGTATCCCTTGTGTTTGCACGCTTGGTTTCAAAGAACCTAATGTTTTCAACTACCTTCTCCAGATTAGAACGCAGTACCATAGAAGATGACTCTGTACTTGAATCATGTCTAGCATCATTTATATGCATTTTCTCTTCTTCCAACCGATGATGAATAAGTGTATCGATATAGAAGGGTAGTGAATTCTGATGCACTGTTTTTGCATTTCCAACCCGTACAAGGTATGGTTTGTACTTCTTTCCATCTCTTCCATATAGACCTTCACTAGATATTCTTGACACCAACTCATCAACTGCAGCATTTGACTGAGCACAAATTAACACCCTTCCTCTTGTATAACTTTCAACCGACTTTTTCGACATTTCAACATCTTCATTTAATTGTCTAGCCAGGGCAGCATCCTGCCATGCTCTTGCAATGGCAGTGGCCTGGCTCACTCGTGCATTTGAATTGGTGGAAGACTTATAGCTTTGTTTCAAACAACCCTTCTGGGAATTCTCTGGTTCATTTGTTCTCCGTTGAAAGGAAGCAAGCAAAAGACCAAGCATTGCCACGATAGTTCGTGTCTTTCCAGTCCCTATTGAAGCAAGCAAGAAGGTAAAACTACAGAATATGTATATATGATTTGCTGCTGGTTGAAACATTATGTAATATATCAATAAACTAAAAGTTTATTTAAAAAAAAAAAAACTAAAAGCTAAAGTAGAAACAAAAACGGTACCAACCAGGTGGACCCTGAATAAGAGACAATTCAAAATCTTTCTTTATCTTCTGTGATCCAAGAGCAACATTCAACGCTTGCAGTTGACTATCATTGAATGATGACTTCAGCAATTGCTGCAGGGGCTGGGCCAACTTACTGAAATCTATTGTTGATTTATAAGAAAGGGTAAAATCATTGACAGGGTTTAAAATGACAGGAAGCAAGGGGATTTCCTTTATTGATGATAGTGCCTGAAATTCTCGGAGCTGGGGTGTAATGCTCATGATTCGACTGGCATGCCATTTACTACGTTCAAGAAGCTGCCTCCTAGCTTGGTTCAAACGTATTGAACCATTCTGAAGATAAAACCGAATCAGCAGCATACTGGACCTTCTTTTATTGTCTCTCTCTCGCCTCTCGACCTGTGAACAGGTATGTTGCTTTGGTGAAATATGGGAAAAGTGACATTAGTTTATTAAACTTAAAGGGAACAATCTTTGTCAACATAACCTCAGTAATTGCAAAATAATAAATAAAATAAAAAGGTTGCTTGTTAAGCAATCAAAGAAAATTCAGCTCAATGATCTAGATCGAAAGTGAGGAAACATCGTCCAAATATAGTCATGAGAATCAACCATAGAAAATATGCAGGTACATTTGTGGATCTTGGACCATATAAAAACAACTCAGAACAGGTTTATACATCTCTCAAGCAACTGTTCCAGCAGAATTTTAGATGAAAACAAGGCAGTACTGCTAGCATGTCATCATAGCATCAGGAGACCAAAGATCAAAATTTTAGATGTTTTCGAAACCAAAAGATTAAAATATTAGTGAAGACAGAGAGAAGTATTCAACATTTAGTTAATCTTTCTAAGTGAAAATCACTATATAAAACGAAACTTTACTTTTGGAAGTAATACGAATTTAGTAACTTTGGCCTTAACTTGGACAACAATAGATTGGCCTTCATAATTTTGGTTTCACAATAATTAAATTTGCAAATCAACCTATCATTACTAATCAACAACTGGTGAAATATACAGTTTAAAAAAACATTTAAAAGACAATAGTAGATTATATATGTCAGCTAACATGTTATTATTATCATCACCACTATGCAAGCATAATAAAGTGAATATTGTACGTTTAGGTTTTACAATTCATTATCGGCTAACTATTGCACTCCTATAGGAGCATCCTGATAATATTTATTAATAAATATTATCATCACCTTGTTGATTTTATTACAGAAATTCAGAAGTCAGTTGGGCTTCATAATGTTGTTATTAGGCATATCAGCAGATGTATTAATGAGGAAGCTGATGGTCTAGCTAAGTCAGGAATTGGTTAGTGAGTGTGGAGGTTGTTTTTAGGAGCTGTGCTTTTGGCATTTTATTTGGTTATGTTTCTTTGTTTAGGCAATCTTTTGTAATGTTTGGTAATCTTATGTAATTGTTGGTTATTAATCTACTAAGGCACTCTTTTCCTCCTTCCGCTACTTGTCTCCTTTAAAGAGACAACTATGAGGGAGGTTTTTAATGAGGCCTTCTATTCCTATCAAAAAAAAGATAATATTTATTAATAAATAACCAATATTAAAAATAATAAAGCACTTTTAGAATAGAACATCTAAATTAACATAAAAAATAATTAAGCAAAACCTATTATTAAAAAAATTAGCTCCAGTGAACAACTAAAAACAATAACAAATGGTTAATGATACAAAGCAGTATTGGTTCAGTAGGATGTTCAAGGTCAAGGATGTGAGATACATAAATAATGATCATAAATAAAATGAGAGGGGTCATACACAGAAACAAAAGAAAGAAATTTGCCTGAAAAGAGGGTTGCAAAGGTCTTGCAGAAAAAGGAAAAGAGAAAAATGTATATTCAACGGAGAAAAAAAAAAGCAATCAGAACAGTAATGAAAGGCTTCATATATATAGTGTACTATGACAAAATACCTTTCCGACCATATGAACATCATGAGAGGTACTTTTTGGAGGCTCTTTAGTGAGCAAAACAAGATCATTCTCTGACAAACTTTTAGAGGCTGTAGAATCATCAACATCATATACAAATCGAACAAGATGGAAATCATCAACCCTCTCAACAGACAGCACAGATATATTGCCACAATACATCTCGTCCCATGAAGACATTTCCAGAAAGGAACTATTCAGTTGTGCTTTAAATTCCTCCAAAACCAATGGCCGAAAAATGTTTACATACTGCTCAGGTGACTGAAATGACACAGGGACCTCCTTTAATTTGTTAACAGTGCGACTCTCACTGTCACTTGCAGATGCTAATCCCACTGTTACAAAGAAATCTACTTCTAGTATTGGCCTATACCAGTCATCAAGTCTTGGAGGCTTGAACCTTTTAACCTGAGCTTCCGACCTCTGTAGGCTAGATCTGTTACCGAAAGGTGATTTAAGTTGAATGACTTGTCTTTTAGGAACAACAGGACCCTGCTTCACTAGAAATGATGGCTGTAAGGTGACAGTTCTGAAAGCAGATTCTAATGAATCATCTGCAGCAACTACCTCCCTCAAAACTGTATCATTTGTTCCAGAAATTACTTTTTTGCATCCTTGATTAGTACTGCTTAATTTAACAGATTCATCAACCTTGTTCTCCCGATCAATTCTACACTGAGATGAAATAACACTGCTTCTGGAGTCGGAGCTTATTTTCCTCTCACTATCAGGTCCTTTTGGTTTGAGAAGATGTGGTGGCTCGACTCTTGATTTCTCAGTTTTCTGTTTCTGAGAAACAAGATAATCTCTTTCAATGGAAGACTCTAATAGATCCTTTGCTGTACCAGTAGCAATGCTATGGACATTCTTCTGGGCGTGGTTAGTTTCTGAAGCATTCTCATCAGCAGAAGGAAATTCCACCTCCCCATGCAACAGTTGATGACTTGACTTATCGGGTGCGATATGTTTCTCCATCTCATCATCAGAAATAACAATCAGATTATTTTCATTCAGGAGTCTTTCTGATTTAAAGGAATCAATCTTTTTTACATCCGTTTCAGAGGAAAGAAGCTGCACATCAAGTGCAGTGTAGCTTCCCTCAACAGATGCTCCAGAAGACAATTTTTTTGACCTCAAGGTTGAATGTCCAATAGCACAAGAAACTTCTTTAGATAATGTAATACAAAGTCGTGATACTTGTTCTGTCAGTTCATCCATGTCAACAGTATCTGCATTAAAAAATCACATAACACATGAATAAGCATTGCAATGGACCAAGTAATGGTCACAAGAATGATAGGTAGGGAAAATGAGAACAAAAATAAGATTAACCAAAGTTGCACCCAGGTACTTGCATCTAAGAGGAATAATTATATTTGAAATCTAGTATAATTTATGGAGTCAGTGTATGCAAAAAATGCATTTTATAGTTGGTTGGTTATATTAAAATGTTAGATCTTGGATGAGTAGTGAATTTAAAAGAATCACACAAAGTGGATTTCAAATGCAATCTTTCCACTCATTCAAATACAAAAAGTATACTGAATCTCTACTAATTCTTACGCAACAATGTATAGATCCATATAGTTCGTAAAAACCCATGTCCCATATCAGATATGCACTCAGTGTTTCTTTCTTTCTTTTTTCAAATGAGGCATAAAAATTAAAAATACACAACAAGACAAACTCACCTCTTGAAATAAGATTTTCAACGGCCCCAACCATCAACAGAGAACTATCACCCCTTATTAGCTTGATTGCATTCAGCAAGGATATTACAGCCTTTTTCCAATAGACAACAATGACCTTAAGTTGCGACTTTCCCCATTCCATAAGATCATGAAGCCATTTGAAATCCATTGAAATCCCTAATGCTACTTTAGAATCTCCAAATGTGACAAGTGATGGACCGAGTCTTCCAAATAGAACAGGGAGGATCTCAAGTACACGAACACAAGTCATCTGAAAAGGAAGCAGATAAATATCAACTGTCTGGTAAATGGAGCTATGAGACAAATTTAATACTTTTATTACATGTACACAACAACCATGACAATCTTCTCTATCATTTGATTACAACAAAGGACTAGCCAGCAATGCATGTGCAAAGGCAAATATACAAACAAATGGACATGCATGAATGCAAATGACAAAGCATTGGATGACAAGGCCATACATAGTGAATTCGTGATACCCAAAATGTTAGTCCAAGAAGACGTAACTGGACCCAGATGCATCCATAACAACAATTAAATGCAAAATGCACTTCCCTAATATAATCAAGAATTCACAAAAGAGAAACATAACCGCAAAAAAAAATCATAGGATGATACCTGACATAGACCGTAATCAATAAATGCCTTCCCTTCTACCAAACACTTGCACAAGGCAGGCCACGCAATTTCTGACAATGAGTAACAGAAATTTTCCCTTAATTTTGGGTCAACACTTGAGTAATTTCTGCCCACGCTTTCAGGCAATGCATCAAACAATGGCTGCTTAAGAAATCCACCCTGAGAAGTGTACTTCATAATATTTGATGTAATGGATGAATTTTCTGCTACTTCTGAATTAGGCAAGTCCTCCTCTTTGAGTAATTTGCAGAGAACAAAGAAAAAATGGTGCAAAGTCTGAAACTTTAATAGAACAGCATCTAACTGGACCTGGAGAGTGCAAACAAAAGACATTAGAACATGCTTTATGCATATGCAGATATATGAACACCACTAAATCACTAATGTGCTGTAAATCTATAGTAGCAGAGTGCGTATGATATTGCAAAAAGAAATCTTGTTCAGAAAACGGTTCTTTAGTCTAGAATACTATAAACTGGGAACATAATCAGTCTGTGCCAACCTATGTTACTCGGACTCTTCATTTTTCTTGAAGTACCTGCATCCAACACTAGTATCCAACACATGGATAAAGGGATGACTTCCAAGGATCCTCCAAATGCATGAAAAACCTTAGAAAAGTCTAAACCGAGTAACATAGGAGCCAACAAAATTAGATAAACAAGGAAAGAAAACATAGCTTCATGTTGACTGCTTTTAAGAGCCACTGCAACGGGATTAGCACTTACAAGTTTCAAGGCATGCTTCAAGCCCAAATAAATAGAAGATAGAGAAAGAACGTCAGAGCAAAGAAACTTCAAGCCACAACCAAGACCTCGCGTATCTGAAACTTGTTCCAAGATAGACTTGCCAAATTGTCTCACATTCTGCAACGGCAAAAATAAGAAAGAAAAAGTTCATGCACAAATTCTGAAAGGCAAACCACAGCAGAATGTTTCTTGTTTTAGATAGGAAATAGAAAACAGAAGTATTTCATCACTCAATTTATACCATAAAGGCAATACAATTTAATTCATGAGATCTAGACAACAATTAAACATACATCATTAGGGTCTACAAGTGAGAGGATCAAGCTTTCACTCATCCTTGGTTCCCAAGACCATTGCCTTCGAAGTTCCCCTTGCCCAATTCGAATCAAAAAGTGTACAGTTAACCTGTTAAAGAGCATCCATTATTATAAACACCATTTAACTCAATATGTGGGTTTCTCAATAGAGATAGCAACTTGAAAACATATAACAGATATTGATATAAAGTAAAATATGTAGACAAAGAAGAGACATGCTAAGAACCTGTTGAATGTCTTTATCAAAGGTAGACACATTGTTAACAATCTCATTGAGTTTTTAGATTCCTTCCCCCCGCCATCATCAGAACCAGTTGGTACCTTCCATCCAAATGTACTCGAGATTTCTACAGCAGAGGATGAAAGCCAACCTTTAATATCAAGAGCCATTTCGGCACCATTCATGGGTTCTATCATAGGGAAACGAGAACGAGCCCAAAATACAGCCTTGAAAAATGATATTGGCAGAACTGAAGGATCAATGTCAACAAGAACATCAATCCACAGCATGGGAATACACATCCACTCTCTATACTCCCGAGAGGAAATTTGACTCTCAGCACTAAATTCACTCCAACATCCAAGATCATTCTCTTCAACATCCTGAGTAAATGGAAGCTCATTATTTTCTTCCTCGTCATCTAACTCACTAGAAGTGTTTTTAGCAATATTTGTAGTAATGCAACAATTCCGCATTGAAGCTATTAAGGCAGCAGCATCAGACACTAGAATGGTTTGTATGAGATCAAAGGCAGGCTGGCGCAGGGAACTGTGGAGTGAAGAATCCTTCAAAGAAGACACAAGTGAAGGGCCCCTGTCCAGCAGGATTGCTGAAATATCAGTCATATAAATCTGATTCTTTAGCTACATTTCAGTATAGTATGTCCTTTAGCTACATTTATTTTTTTTATATAGGAATAGGAGGCCTCATTAAAAACCTCCCTCATAGTTGGCTCTTGTGAAAGAGGCAACTAGTGGAAGGAGGAAAAGAGCACCTCAATTTATTGATAAGCCTTAATACATAATACTACATGTTACAAGCTAGCTTCATGAAAAACAGTACATCAACAAAATAACACAGACTTTGAACACATTCAACCAATCCCCTCTTTAACTACATTTATAAATGCCCTAAGAATAAGCATTCCCATCTATTGTTGCTAGGCAAACTGAATTTTCACATGATAATCCATGTAAAACAATAGCTAAGGTAAAAAATATACAAGCATAATGCTTTAGGTAATACAGATACCATTCTCTTCCACCAATATTCATATTCATCCAATACTGTCCGGGGGCTAAAACCCTCTTCTCTAGCAAGTAACAACTCAGGAAAAACTAAAAACATGTATCAGATAACAGCATCTCATCCAACTCCAGATATTGATTCCTAAAAAAGGTTTGAAATGTATGGGATAATGATAAATGATAATGATATTCAACAACGCGTACCACATATGTGCACATTCAAAAGGAGGGCATGGTTGATTCATCTTGTAGCCTCGATGTATGATAAGAAGAGCAACCTGAAAATAAAATCTTCTATTAAGTTGCAAAATAATAGAACCATTACCGGGGGGAGAAAAAGGAAAGAAAGAGAGAATGAGAAAGGACAAAGCATTCTTATCCTCAATATTCAAAAATCTAGTAAGGACCTTGCAGGCAGATTTTCTCGTTAGAACACTAAAGTTACTGCTCACAGGAACTTGGTGGAGAAGAAAATAAAGGAAATGTCTGCGCTGCTTTTCATGTTCCCCATCTTGCAAAGCTTCAAGTGACTAAAATAAAATTCACTACATATCAGCATCTTTATAGCAACTACATATGCTGCATAGTTAACATCAACTGGCAAGTAAGAAAACAACATGCCTGCAAAAATGGCTGGAAAAGATCAAAAATATCTTTATGCATCTTCTCATTTCTAGTGTGAAAACACTGACCCAACAATGTGTTGCGCATTACACTGGGAGATAGTGTAGACCTAAGCCAAAGCTTACAACCTTAAGAAAGTAGAAAAACATAAAATAATTAAATAATGAGTTTATTTGGGGCAAAGATGAGAGAAAAATGAAAATGCAAAAAAAAAGGCACATACCAAGCATTTTGAAGAGTTCTCTCAAGCAACTAACAGCGTGGGAAAATTCAGGTGAATCACCACTGATATGGTTGAGCACAATATCAAGAAAGATAGGATAGCGCTCCAATATTCCATCTTCAAAAGCTGGAGGTTCCAAGAACTCGAGCCTTCATTTCCAGAGAAAGAAACATTAAATTACGGAGGAAGAAGACAAAAGAAAAAGTTATATAAGATCAAGAACTAAACCCTACTTACAAGGATGTAATCCCAAGCCATATGGGAAGGCGGTCCAGCAGTGCTCTTGGCCTTGAAGTCTCTAACGGTGAAGGCAATACTTCATTCTCCAAAAAGCCAATGAAATTTTTCAGCAAAGGTTGCAAAGGTTCCAAATCTGTTGCTCTCCTACATAAAAATAGAAAAAGTTCAAGGAAATAAAATGTGATAACTTAAAATGATATATAAACCTAGGTTTGCAGGAAGGATATAAGTATGAACATTATTAACAATTTGATAATTGAGGGGGGGGGGGAAGAAATCACAATGACGTACTAGCATAGTACAAAGCAACAGTACCTCATTTTTCCCATAGATTTAGCTAAACGATGGCCAACGGTCCGCACTCTTCTATTGAAAAAAAGCAATGCATAAACGCCCTGAAACATATTTACTTGATGAGATGGATGTCAAAATGGAAAACTACAGACAAAAAAGAAAGTGCATAAATAACTTCGCAGTGGAATACCGGAAACTGTTGCCCAGCCAAAGCCAATTCATGCATATTATCAACTGCTTCAATGAATCTTTCAAATTCTATAAACAAGGACTGGTCATCTAATAGGACAGGAAACATCAAAACCTGTAGACAATTAGATAATGAACAGAAAGCAAGGAGAAATCAGCAGAGCAAAACAAAACAAATTAAACTAATGCACACATATGCTAGATTATCAAATCAGCTAAGAGTCATCATCTAAAGATGAGACAATTAACTCTCAGAAATTCTGATCAGTAAAGGAACTCAGCAAGCTTGATAAAACCCCAAGAAAAGAAGATATTGTGTTGCATAAGCATAACCAACAATTTAAAATTATTTATGGCGAAGATGAGTTTAATTCAAGATATAAATCGAAAAAGAAACAATACCAAAAAGGCACTAAAACAACACGATGATTTCTAGAGTGCTGGATACTATATCTAAATTTATCGATAAATCATCAGCATTGCATAAAAAAATATACAAAATGCAAATGCAATTAGAATGAAAACCCAATGCACATTGCCTAATCTAGCAAAATATTTTTATAACCAGGTAGAAGTAAAGATGGGAGGGAGTCGATGGAACTTAATCATCCACTAGAAACAAGATAAATTGAATGAAGTGCTCATTATCCGAGCACTAACCATATACCTTCAGATTCTTCATACAACTAGTAAGACTATAAAGCATAAACCCAACAAAAAAACGAGACTAAATAATAGTTTCACCTTATTCTAATTAGTATGATGCAAATTATCAAATGCAAGAACCAAACAATAATAAATGAAAGCATAAGATGAGAAAAGTAATTATACCTCATACATGAGATTGACAACCTCGACATTATCACATACAGGATCATACTTCTGCAGCGCCAATCTTTCATTCATCTCTCTTAAATGTTGAGTCACCCTTTCCTCATCAAGGTGCCTCAACACATCAAGGAGGGGACCTATGGAACACGACTCATACTCCATGCTATACATCTCCTGGGCTTGATGGTGCTGAGAAACACATTGGATGCAATGGCGCATTTCCGCAGAGATCCTATTCCATAGAAGCCTTAGAGGAGAATCATTGCAGTCATCTTTGAAATAATTGTAGAAGGTTTCCAAGAGGGGACCCATTATATCCCATGAGCCACACCAAATGTGATTTTCCTTTGGTAAATTTATCAAGACACTGAATGCATCTGCAAACCTGGTATGTGAAAAGGCCAAAGAATCCCAGCTTGGTTAACTTTAAAGGCCACAAAGTCTGAAGAGCTGAAAAACTACAAACAGTTTCCTCAACAAATAGGAAATCAAGTCCAAAGAATTAAGGAAACTCAAAAGGTGAACCTTCACAGTGACAGCATGCAAGGAATATAGTAACTAGATTTGTTCATCTATCAATGAAATTTTCAAAAGAAAACAAATAAATCATCAATATTATACATATATACATAGAACAGAGAGAATTTCTAATTATTACTAGGAAAAATAGAGTGAGCAAAATACACTGAAAAATGTTTTCCCAAAATATAAAATTGTCTCAATAATATCAGCATCAATAATTAAACCATAAGAGGGAAATCAAATCGACACACACATAATAATTTTTAGTGAATTTCATTGCACATGTTAAGGAATAAAACTACATTACAGGCACAACCTTACATGATTTTTTATAACACATTAAACTATATATCAAATTTCATGTTATGATGCTGAAACTTAGACCCCAAGATTTTTTAAAATTAAATAGGTATATATTGTTATATGTATTTGCATATCAGAAAAAGAAATAAACTGAAACCTCAAAACAACTTTTATATTTTTTCCTGCAACTTAATTTTATACATTATATATTAAAATTGTTGAAACCATGTTGTTACTCGTTAGTAAACTTTAATATTTCAATATTCCTAAATTCTTAAAATTAATTGATTTGTTATATACATCAAATCACATGAACTTTAATATTTCAGAATTCACCCTTTCTCTACAAGATTTCAACTAAGAGTAATGAAAAGTTGGAATTTTATAACTTTGCTGGATTGTAATAGTGTCGTTCTCTTCTCATCTTCAAATTCTAGGCTTTTACTAGAACATATACACTAGGTTTTCAATCTTTTTCTGTATTTCATAGGGTAATCCCTTATTTTTGCTTAGTTTGAATTTCAAGTAAAGAACCACTTTGTTTTATATGGCATAAACATATATACTAGTTTGAAATATTATTGAAGTTGATTCAGAAAATAGAAAGGAAAAATAATATATATTATATGTAGGTATAAACATGTGGACATGAGAATAATAGCAAAGCAAATCAGTGTGCAAAATAAAATATTCACATAATTGACCACAAGACTAAATGCCAAGATCCGCCATTGCTGAAACTTATAATCAAAACTTATCAAATACACAACCAATAAATGGTTATTGATTCTTTTAATTTCCTTTAATTTCAACTATGGAAAGAAAAACTACAATGATCAAGAATAAGCAATGCACCAGCGCTAACACAAGTGTTCTTTTTTTCACAATACTTTCCCAAACCAAACAATGCAAACTTGAAGAGAAATACCATTTTCAAAGCTCTTCTCAGTAGTAAAATTTCAGATCAGTAAACAAAAATAATTAGAAATATACAATTTCAAACTTGAACTTATGGCAATACACTAATTTTATTTCGTTTCGAATATCAGCGGGATAATAAAAAGAACAGTAAAGCGAATAAATAAATATCTTGAACCATTGCAGAAGAAAATACGAGAGAAAAAGAAAATAAAGAAAAACCATTCTTCTTTCCGCTTGTGAAGCCGAAATCGTATGGAAGGATCACCGTCGTCTCCTTCTTCCTCCTCTTCTTCGATGCCTCTCCATCGCTCTAACAGCTCTCTTCTGGAAGAAATCTTCTTCGCCATTTTCGAACTTCTTTATTACAATTAACAAAATCATAAACAAAAGAAAACAATGGAGAATTGTTATTAGCAGTTGCAAAGTAATGCAACTTTCCGCAGGAAATTAAGAGTAAATTTAGGGTTTTTCCAAATACAAAAGAAGACGTTGGTATAATTTATCGACATGAATAAAACGGTGTCGTTCAATATAATACTTCCGCGCCTCCCTCTCCTGAGAGATGTTGAATAAACCCTCAAGGCGACTTGAGTAGTGGCAATTAAAGATTATATAATATTTTTGAAAATTTTAGAATATGTTTATGTTACAGAAAATAATTTTTATAAAATAAATTATATTTTTAAAGTAATTTCTGAAATTCTTTTATTGTATTTATATGATGTGTAAATATTTTTATTGATAATTTTTAAAAATTATTTATTATAAATATGAAATGTAATAAATAATATTATTTATTAAAAATTAATATTTTTATTTTTAAATATTAGTATAATTTATTTAATATTATTTATGATAATATCATTATTAAAATATTAGTTATAAAATTTATAAATAAAAATATTAAGATTATCAAAATATTATAAATTATATTAATTATTTATCAATATTAGAATATTATATTAATTATGTATTAAGATAAGAATATTATTGTAATATTAAAAATTATAATATTATATTATATTATATTCTAAAAATTATTAATAAATATATTTTAAATATTTAATAATAATATTTTTATAGAATTAATAAATAATATTAATTTTATTAATAATGTATTATATATTATTAAATAAAATCTTAACAGCATATTGTAACACCTCGAATATCGGTCTAGTAGCTTTGTGTTGACCCAAAAATTTATTTAATAAATTTATTATAGCTTAGAGGTTCATTAGTTCAAATTTGAGTTCAATCGGGTGATGATTAAATTCAATTCGAGATAAAAAGAGGATTTTTCAGTTTGGAGTGAAATGTGAGGGACCTAAAGTGTAATTTTACCATTGAAGAAAAACATGACAAATTTAAGAGAATTTTTAACTGATATCCACATGACTTTTGGGGCTTGATCTTCTCTACATCCATACCACTTTCTTATTCTTATCATTTCCTTCTTTCTTCTCCTTTATTCTACCTTAACAAGAAAAGTGATAAAGGTTCCGACTTTCATCATCTTCATATTTCAATCTATGATTTTAAGGTGAGATTCTTAACCTTGAGATCATGACCTTAAAGTTGAGCTCACCATCTTCTTCAATGGTGTTCTAGAGCTAACTTAGGGATTTTAGAGGATTTAAGCTTCAAGAGCTCACTCATAGATTTCAATTTGGATTTCATGTAGTTTAGTTGTTTTCTAGCATATTTTGACCATTGTTTTCATGCTGGAAACATTTTTGAGAGCTTGGAATGTGATGAAGAGTGGTGCAAGAACCCTAAGTAGCTAGGTCAAAGACATGTTGGTTCTTTGAGGATATAGAAAGGTATCTAGGTAGGTAGGAGTTAAGGTAACACATAACTCTTCCTTACTACTTGTATTCAATCTACATGAGGTTGCTTCCTTGTATGGGGTAGAAAAACATATAGGGGTTTGGAGGGCTTGATTTGTTGTTATGGACATTTTGGATGTTATTCTAGTTTAAAAATGATGTATAATGACCCCTAATAACTTTCATAAGCTTTAATAATCAAATTAGATCTTAAAACAAGTGTTTGGGATGAGTGTGGGGTGTTTCCCATGTTAAACAATGTATTTCTAAGTTGTAGTATGTATATTGCATGAACAATATCGATACTGCTCATATTTTGGGTGAAATTAGACTATTTTTAAGGGGAGTACTGATACTGTTGAGAGGAGTATTGATACTCATCCTTTGAAAAATACAAAGGATATTTTTGGGTCATCTCAAAACTAATTTTGGTACCGACACTCAAGGCAGTATCAATACTACATGTATGATATCGATACTAAGGGTAATTTAGGGGACTTTTGGGGTTGCTTTGGGTATGCATACCCTAGGATATGTATCGATAACTATATAAAGGTATTGATGTCATCTTTGTGATTGGTTAATGGACTTCGAAATGTTGAAAAAACTGAATATTGAGGAGTTTAATAATGGTTGAGATCAAACATGTAGCTTGAGAATGTGAGAAATTATTAAAATGCCCTTGGATGGCTAAAATTACCAAATCACCCCTAGTTATGAATAAAGCCTTATAAGGATCTGAAAATACCTTTGAAAGAGTAAGACCTTAAGAAATAGCTTAATATATTAGTGATTGTTCATTAAACTTGGGAGGAATCCTAAAATACTCTCAAATGGATGAAATGACCAAAAATACACGTAAGTTGTAATAAGTGATACGAAAAGCCTAAGAGTGCTCAGAAAAAGGTATTAAGACCCTGATAATTAACTAAGTACTTTTTTCATAACTCTTAAACATATGATATATTTGGGAGTGGGTGAATTACTTGAATATTGGGGACTAAAATTACTAAATTGCCCTTGTGGGCCTAAGTGAATGAAATAACCTTCGCTACTAAGAGTTAAATTACTAAGTGATTAGGTAATAAATTGAGACTTGAGGGAGGAGTCTAGAAATGTTGTGATTGATAATAAGGACGAGATAAAAATGTGATAATAATGATATAAAAGGTTAACTCTATAATGAGAGACTGTTAACGAAAACTTTGTAAGAATTTTTATAAATGATTAATATTGGGGTTTTTGGGCTGGGTGGGTATCAATACCTTGTTCGTAGGGTATGGATATTATTCTTCGAGCATCGATACTGAGGGTAGGTATTAGTACCATCACTATGTTTCAAATTCTAGTAGTTAGAATTGGTACCGGTACCAATGGTGAATATTGATACTGAAAGGACAATATCAGTACTGAGGGGCATAATATCGATACTATCATACTAAATTATACAAAAAGTGTAACATCCCAAATTATGGGTTAGTGACTAAATTGTAAAATTTCAAAATTTGGTGATTAAAGTGGAAAAGTTGAAAAGTTCAATGATTTATATAGAGATAATCCCTGGAACTTTTTAGTAATTATCCAAAGTAGTAAAGGGCAAAATGGTCATTTGACAATAAAGATATTTTTATCCCCTTTTATAGGAGATTAAAACGTGGAAGATGAACACATTTCATCTCTTCTTCCTTTCTTCTTTCTCCTCCCGTAAGAGCTCAAGGGCAAAGGTAAGTTTCTTCATTAGTTGATTATTTGTTCAACTAAAGGTTGGGTTTTGATCATTGAATGGTAATTAAGCTTAAGGAAAGCTTAATTGGTTCTAAAACAACAAGAAGAAAGGTATATGAGAGATTAAAGTTTTTGAGTTTTTGAATGAAATCTTGAAATAAAGTTGATAAGTTGAATTTTAAGTTGAATTTGACTTGTCAATAGTTGAATTAAGAGATTTGGAGTGATAGAAAGGAATTTAGAACATGTTGAAATTTGAGTATAATTCTTGAATTTCATTAAGAGGAGAGGATTTTGAGAATTAAGATGGATTAAATGAGTACAAATGGGCTTAAGTATGTGTGTTTGAGTTTAGTATATAGAAGAGGTTGAAATATGAAGTGTTTAAGATGAAATGAAGTAAATTTCGTGCTGAAAATATGATTTATGGGCAAGGGGAATCGGTACCCATTCAAGGGAATCGCTACCCATTCAATGGGGAATCGATACCCCTCAAGCGAACCAGAAATTCCAGAATCTCATAGGGGAACCGATTCCCCCACAGGAGGGAATCGATTCCCCCTAAAGGAAAAATATAAATATTGGTTTAATAAGTTCGTTTAAGTTGCTAGTATCCAATTACAAGGTGTAGGTATCTAATGATTGCCTCAAAATGTACATTTATGTAGATTCTGCGTGTAAAGCAATTCCAGAACATTTGGCAAGTAAGATCGATCAAGGGAAAGATAAGAGATTGGAACTGACTAGTGAGGCCAAGGTGAGTGCATACTAGTGATATGTAGTGTTTAATGGAAATAAGACTTGCGATGAGTCTATTTCCTAGAGTAATATGCATGAAGTCATGGATATGATTATGTGTTGTTATAATTATATGTGATTATATGTATTACATTAATTGTATGTATGCATGACTAAAGATAATGATATGCTTTGTATATGCTATATGATTTATGTAAAACTTTATTATGTAATAATGGAAAAACATGGAATAAGTTATATGATAGAGTCATAAGAAATGAAATGAACATAAAAGAATAAGATAATCAAGTATAAGTCATATGATATGGTATAAGTGATTATACGAGAAATGTTATGAGACTTTACGAGGATAGTATAAATTCGAGGGCATAAACATAAATAAGGATACATAAGTTATATTGATAAATTAAAGGAAACTATGGTTTATGTATTAAAGTGAAGAGCTACAAAGTTTTATTAAAGAGTATTGTGGAAATCATGAGAAATTGAACTAAATAAATAGATGGTTTATGTGAGTGGAAAAGGAAAATGATATAAAATAAGTGGAAATTATTTATAAGATAGAATGAGACTAATTGAACCTGTAATATAAACTTTATAAAGGAGTACTTGGGTAAAATCATTATATGATACAATTATAGAGTATTACTATACAAATTATATTAAAATATGATATATGAGAATATGAGTAAGTTTATATGTTATTGATAGGACATATAAGAATATATAAATGTATGATGATATGAAAAATGGAACTAAGTTTAATGATGTTGAACCCTACGAGTAGAAGTTATGTGAATATAAGTAACATGATTATATGATCACAAGATATGATACATGATATGAGATATATGAAAGAGAAAATATATGTTATATGAAATATTATATGACTATGCGATTATATGAAAATGTTCTACGCGTAAGTGAACCATGTGTTTATATGTATATGGGATATGTGATTTATATGACGATGAGCTATGTGAAAGAACTACATGACTATGTGTATATGTGAATGTATGTTAATATAAATATTAATGCCCATGTTATGTGTCATGAGAGCTAGGGGTATAGTTGGCATGCCAAGAGTCGAGGGTCTACGCGGTCCTTCGGGACATATATGTATTCTTTGGAACATGTGTGAAGTCTGGTGAGACACATACTTGATCCTTGGCATATGTATA